TGTTCATGGTTTCAAAATATTAATAATTCTACATATAGACAAATGGATTATTCAGGGAAAATTTGATACTTGAAGTTAAAACATTCTTTTAATGCTCAACAAATGAGAAGACAAGTGAAAGTACTTTCTAAGCTATAAACACCTATATTTTATGTGTAAATTTTCTTATAAATGCCTAATGGTATACTTTCCAGTTTCCAAGAGCCCATCACTTTTTTCTGACATTGGTTTGATTGTGGATTTTTTACTTCTTAATATTAGTGCTTGCTAATGTGACTTTCAAAAAACAATTAAAAGTCAGTCTCAGGATTTATTACAAATTGTGTTTTATATAGTTTTGTGACGTCAGTAAAAATGAAACTATGTTGGCCTATAAATGAGATTTTATCTTATTATTAATTTACTATATGATGAATAATTTCTCTATCTGAAAGTTGCCACTAGTTTTTTATGGTAAGAATAGTAATATTTGTGTTCATAATCTTGTGTATTCATTATATATGCATAATCAGTACCTTTTAAAGAATTTTTCAATACTGTGAAATTGCTCATTCTTCTTGGAGGTAGAGTTATTATATTAATCATAATAAAATACCAGATTGGTTAAGTAGGCTTTAAGAATAGAAGTAAAAAGGGGCACTATTCCAACAATGCCCAGGAAATAATTTACCCATATAAATGAGTTGCCCCAATATTGTTTACAGATTGCTAAAAAATAGTGATGGTTCTAATGTTATAGGTTTCTTGGAACACTTGACAACATGCAGAGAAATGAAACCAAGGACAAATGAATTTCACCATGAGGTGAAGTTATCGATTGAAGAACAAAAGTAGAATTGAGCATACTAACATAACCATTAAGTAGTTTAACATGACTTGTTTGTAAGAATCTTGAAAAATGTTTCAGGTCTGACTGCATAGTCCACGTTTGTAGCATTAGAATTAACTCGAGTTCATACTCTAACAATCTACATATCCAAGAAAGCATCTTTACAAGCATGAATTAGTGTGCTTGCTGGCTGTTGGAAAGATAAATTGCATTACTTTCCTCTTTCATTTTGTAAAACTTTATTATTTTAAAAAATAGAAATAGCCACAGGACCTGAAAGTCCAAATCAACATTTGATTTTTGTTTTAAAAATTTTAAGATTAATTTTAAATATATTTCATTTGTGTAGAAACCCGATTTCTATAGTATTACAAATTATGATTAAAAGTTTTTTATTGTAACTACCATAATTGTGCCATAAAATATAACATGATTATACTTGTGTATATTTTAATATATTTAGTGGGACTGATGTTTCATTTATCTCTTAGACAATCATATACTTTACAAATATAGCAATTGTGCTTAATTAGCAATTGTCGAGTTCCATTGTGTTTTCACTTTTAATGTGGAACTAAGAGCTGGAGAAGTAAGGATATTAACTAATTGTTGTTCAGAGCCTTACTGATATGTAGACATACTTAATGATAAAGGTGCTCATAATGTATTTCTCTCATAATAACTGAACTAGGAGGCTGTTCCAGCAAATTCTCAGGGCTAAAGTTCACAAATGAGAATGCGTTTCACTATCATGGAAGAGACCAACCCCTCTTTAAATAACAAAAATATATATATATATACTCTTTCATTAAGATTTTTAAAGAGCACACATTCACTACTTACATCATCCAGAGAAAGACAAACTTTATATCATTTGGGGAAGTCAAATTTAGCAATTTAGAATCAATTGTATATTAAAATAAACATTTTCTGGATTATGAAATCAAATTAAGGCTTCATGCTCTGAAGTTTCATAGATCCTGGGTTTCTATATTTTGTGCAAGGAGTATATAGATTTGCTAATTTATTGCAAACAACAAAATTTATGAAGCAGTCTTTTTTGATACCATGTGCTTTCCTTAAAATAACTTCATTTTTTATCTGCTTTTCTCATCCTTTTCATTTATAAAGGGCAATTGTAAAAGGGAAGAGTAGTTTTACTTACTGCTGATAAGACTTCTTACAAAGTATAATTGTATAGTGTTATACATACTTTGTATATGCTTCTCAAATAGTGTTAAAAACATTCAAATCTCAAAAGTTCTATTGGCAGCATTTTAAGAAAGAAAATGACATGAGCCCGTGTATGTTGTGTGAATGCTTCATTCAGTGTCTAAATTTGGGTTCTAATTGACAATGTGCTACATTAATTCTAGAAGATTTCTTTTCTCTCATAGAGCCAGATGTATCTTGTTCTATATCCTGAGAAAGCCTAGGAAGACAACAGAGTCACAGCTGTTTCCTATACAATACAGAGATTTTAGAATTCATATTTCTTAAAGGAATAAGAAAACATTGAAAGTATCTGGGTTTTTGGAAGGTAACTTTTTAGATCCATTTTTAACAGAAGTAGCTGTTGTAAAGAAACAGAATTCTATTGAAATATGCACATGTAATTTGGAAGATTACTTTATGAGACTTGACTCCATGCTACTCTATTTTATGAGACACAGACAAACTGCTGTGACTCCTAACCCAGTCATGCACATATTATGTGGGTCATAATTAATGCTGTCATTTTCTTCCAGGTCCTGATTGAAACTAGTAAGCAGAAACATCAAACAACTGAACTTCTTATTTCAAAACAGTATTGCTTCAGAGCTGCCTTATGGGTTTATAAGCATTCATTTAATTCTTCTACTTATCCAAATATCTTAAATATTATCTAAAAATGATAAGCGACTGGGAACTTTATTTTTACTTTGATCAATATTTAGCTTGGAAATGCTGATAACTTGGGGTCATCTATTTAATTTTTTTCATGTTCCAGTAAATCATATTCTTAAAATGCCTTTCTCCATTTGTTTCCTCCAATGTAAATAAACCTTTCATAGCCCTTATTTTTCAGCATATCTGTACTCAGATCTTTATAGAATTCAGGTAGGTCTCAAATATCCTAAAGTTAACTTTTTAAATTATAAAACCTAAAAGCAATAATTGACTAGCCACAGTTTCTTTCTCTAAACAGTACTGATCACTATCTCATGTTCAAATAATCCATTTCAGGCTTTGGAAAAGGTGATATTTGATTCCAGAATATTTGGAATGAGAAAAAAATTATTAGAGCTAAATTAGGGCTTATGTGTGTGTGCTATGACAGTGCAAATGCATTTGGACATGTTTCAAAGAGTTTGAGAGACAAAATTCACAGTCAAATGTGGAAGAATAAAATTCCATGTAGAAAAAAATACTAGAGGATCTTCTCTGTAAAGTAACTTTGATGTTTCTTTGGTGCAAACACTATACTCTTGGTAGGAAATAGGCAAGCCACATACACACACTCAAATTTCACTGAGTTACTTAATTTGTTTAGTTGTACATCACATATATTTGATGCACATATTTCAGAGTACTGACACCCAGATTCCTTTGGAATGAATAAAAAGAGGAATGGACATAGCAATGTGTTTTGCTGTGAGAATGTATCTGATATTTGAGCAGTCACAAGGGCTTTCTGTTGAATCAAGTAAATCCACAATGTGTGAAGCTCTCTAGAACATCAAGGAAGCTTCTGTAATGAAGAACTGAGGGAAATGTGCGTTATGCAGAGCAAATCCAGACACACTGCAAACCAGAAGACATCTAGAATTTATTTTCATTTCTTCTGTCCTTTATTTATGGCACCTCTCTTCATCCCCAAAACCTGCAATGAGGACCTTCTGTTAAAAGATTCTAAATTTACTCTGTAGGTCAAGTTTGGCTTATTTAAATCTCCCATTTCTCTCTCTCTCTTTTTTTTCTCCTATTCATTAGCATTATAATAGCCTCCTGGGAATGAATCACGTGCCTCAAATTCTAACTTAACATTCTTCTTGTAAGTTCACCCTCTATTTTATTTGGCAGAATGTGCCTCATTGCTCAGCCACCCCTCATGGGCAAGGGTAATTGCATAGCAGGACTATCCCGATAATAATTATAGGCTCAAAATGAAAGAAAAGTTCTGAGTCAGCAAAGACAGAGCTTGGCGAGCACAAACCAATAGCGAAGGCAGCCTCCTTTGCCTTCTTGATTTATACCATCTTCTTTGGACTAGCTCTTGCTTACCGTCATAGTTTTTCCTTGCTAGGTTTTTTTTTTTTTTTTTTTTTTTTTTTTTTTTTTTTTTTTTCTGTGTGGGAATGATGTGCAGGTTGGTAATACAGTCTTAAGTGTATTCAATACTGAATATCCTGACAAATAATAGACAGTGTGTGTTTTCCTTTTTCTGAGTTCTCCACAGTAAAAACAAATGTGATTTATGTTCCTAACAAAAGGAAGTAGGAAATGGGGAAGGACAAAGCCAGATTATCAGTGATCAAAAACAGAAGCCAGATTTTGTGTGCTCTCATTCACCTGCTATCCCTTGATCCCATTTATCTGGACTACTTTCCTAGTAACGATTGGTTTTTCACACTTTGAGACCACAAACCCCTGTTGTAAGGTCCAACCTGCAGAATGAAACGTGAGTATTGAAATTGTTCACACATTAGGAACTGACATTTTCTTCAGCTTGGTAATTTTTGTTTTGTGATGGAGCTGGTACATTTCAAGGCCTGCAGACAGGTGTGTATATATTCACTTTGCTTTACATAGATAAAGGATAGAAGGCACACACATAACATATTAAAATATCAGGAGAGTACAGAGGTACAACAACCAACCAGTTCAACTTGGAAGTTAGTGTATGTTGTCTTACCTAAAATTTCTCCATTCTTCATGAAGTATCTTTAATGATTATCAGTGTATAAGCATTACTATCTCCTTATATAATCCAAACTTCAGAGTAAATCTATACCCTACTTCCTTAAGGCTCTGCATTTGGAAGCAGATAATCAACTCTATCAGAAGAAATGTAGAAGAAACCATGAAATCAGGTGGTTTCTGTAACAACAAGAACCTGATATTTTGAAATTTCACAGTCCCAATTCATAGCCTTCCACCTAACAGCAAAATTAGAGCTGGTACCAGGTAATAAATTGAGAATATCTCTTTAATCATTTTTCATATATACTGGGAATGATCCAAGGGCATGAACTGAGTCTTGTCAATTGTACACTCAGAAAACTAAAATCAGAATTTAGCACATAGTAAGTCTTTCATAATTATTGTTGAATTGAACCAAATTTCCTAACACTAAGAACCAACCATTCTTTTTCAACCCTAGATAGTTTAGAATACTTTCACCTTTTTAGTTATAGTTCCTCTAGGCAATGGAAAATTATAATGAAACTTTCTTCCAAATGGAACTGAATTTACTTCATAATCATTATTTTAGAATCTGAGCATTCTACAAAGGGTAACCCTGGTGAGAATGAAAAAATACCACAGCATCCTTGAATATAAATCCAAAACTCAAATCAGCTAGTCAAACAGGACCCTATAGACAGTGATGTTATGATGAAAGAATACTGTAGTATTTTCTTTCTTAGAAAGTAGGAAATTTAATTACCTTCAATTTTCTCACATGTAAGCCATACTACAAATGAATTGTGTCCAGGTACAGAAAAACCAACAATATTTTATTTATAATCTTATCTTTAGCTTTTGAACTACAAATTCTGGTTCTAGAGCTTTTTAAAAGTCATGGGATTTATAGATGCTCATATGTAAATTAATCTGTTGTCTGCTTACTTTTTTTTTACTTTTCCATAGAATGGTCTTCCTCATAAATACAGAACAGGTCATTACATGAAAATATAAGATCTTGCATTTTTCTCCTCATTCTCTCTTAAAAATCTATTTCTAATATCGCATTCCCCATTGGACTATTTTATAAAGGCATGAGGGAAAAAGAAAAAAAAAGAAAGGTGAGGGAGAGAAAATAGACTGGATCTCACCACTGGAATTCACCATAAAAATCTCAAAGTGTAACATAATTCTTACAAAATTTCCTAGACCAGTTCTTTAGGGAATTGAGATCTATGAAAAATATGGCAATCAGGGAAAGGAGGGATGAGATGTGGGAAAATAGTAAATAAGTGCAGCAAAAACAGGTTCTGAGGAATACACATAATTTTGTCTGCTTTAGATCACAATAGAATTTTTAATAAATAAATTTCTTTTCTTTTTTGTTTTTTTGTAAAGACACTTTTTTGAAACAGTAGATTTAGCCCAGTCATTTGTGTCATTTTTAATAAACTGTCTTTTTGATTGTTTGTTTTCTGTAACTCTGTAATAAATGTTTTAGATCTGAGTCTCTTGTACATTGTCTTTAGAGTTCATTCGGATCAATAACGGTTCATGCACTGAACTGTGTATTGAATTTATTGTGTTAACTGTTGTTGTGTGGTTGAAGGGAGATTTGTAAGAGTTATAGTGATTTAAGTGCTCATGCTCAATAGCAGGCATGGGCAGGTGGCTCTCCATGGGTGTGTCCCCTGTAATCTCATCATCCACATTGATGATTTCAACAGTCCTTGTTGGAGCATGATGATTTTGCCGATGGTGCTGCTTCCTCATCTTGTAGAAAATGACCAACATCACTGCAGCCATGAGTGTTATGGCCACAAAACACCCAATGATGATTTTAGTAGTCTTCATGACTTCATCAATTCCTGGAATCCCACTGTTTATATCAGTCACTGGGATGGTGAATGTCTTTTCTGTCGACCTTGTGCTCTGTGGCGTGAGAGAAGTGGTCACATTGGTGGTTTCCCAATCAATCACTGGAGTGGGGCCCACATTGTTATCTGTGGTCCGTGCCTCATCCTGAGAAGGTTCCATAGTCTCTACTGTGACAGTTGAAAAGTAAGAGAAGGGAGTAGTGGTCGCTGCAGTAACATTCAGAGTGGCTGAAGCAGTAGTGTTTCCAACAGAATTACTCACCATACACGTGTACATGCCTGTATCTTGCACTGTTACATTCGTAAAATTTAACGTACCATCACTGAGCACAGCTATCCGCACTTTATATGCCCCATGTGTCATGACTGTTCCATTTGGAGTAATCCAAGATACAGACGTCAGGGACGTGGAGGCCCGACATTTCAGCTCAGCTGCCATGCCTTCAGTGACATTGAGGTCTGCAGGGGGCTCCACAATCACAGGAGCATAGCATGTGAAGTAATTCTGGTCTAGTTCCCCAATGTACCTCCCTTTCAGATTGGGAGGAGTGTTACACCGGGCACAACAAGCTGTGTTGGAGGGAGCCATGTCTTTTATCCACCAGCTGAGCCACAGTATGTCACAGTTACAGTTCCAAGGGTTGTGATGTAAGTGTATCCGCTCTAGATGATGCAACGGTGTAAAGAGGTCATGAGGCAGTAATGTTAGATTGTTGTGTGCCAGGTTGATCTCTACTAGTGACTGAAGGTTATCAAAGGCATTCCGTTCAATCACTTGAATCTGGGACTGTATCATCCACAGTTTTTGAAGGTGCATCAATCCCTGGAAAGAGCCAGGCCTGATGGCAGACAAATGATTCCCAGAAAGATCTAGCTCATCTAGTTTTATGAGCGGTGTGAGGTTAGGGATTTCCCGAAGGTTGCACATGGCAAGGTTCAAATATCTCAAGTTGGACAGACCTTCAAAGGCACCTTCTGAGATGTATGAAAGCCTTTTTAATTCCCCTAAGTCTAGTCGGCGCAAAGAAGGTATTCTGTTAAAAGCATAAGAAGGGATGCTTTCAATGGGGTTGTTTCTCAACCAAAGCTCCTTCAGTTTAGACAAATATACAAAAGCTCCATTTGGGATGGTGGTAAGACGATTGTCGAAGAGTTCCAGAGTGTTGAGGTTCGCCAGACCATTGAAGGCCCCAATTTCAATGGTTCTAATGTGGTTTCTGCTCAACTGTAGAATTTCTAGGTGCCTCAAGTGCTTGAAGCTATTCACTTTGATGATCTGGATTTGGTTCTCATGGAGGTTCAGCAGTCGTGTGTTGGTGGAAATGCCATCCGGAACCTCGCGAAGGTTTTTCCGAACACAAATTACTTTGCTGAATTGGTTACTGCAGGAGCACACGGAAGGGCAGGTTTGAGCCCGTACAAGACCAGCCACCACGAGAAGTTGAAGAGCCAGCAGCACCACAAGCAGAGGGTCAAATAGGGCCCTGTTAAACCTAGGACCTATCATTATCTGCTGTGGATGTAAGGTCATCTTGTTCAACATTCATAATTTATCTGGTGTTGGTCCTTCTGGAGTTCAGTCTGCAAGACAGGAAGAGCAAGAGAGTATTAGATCTGTTCCAAATGTCTTTCTGGAGTCATGTCAGTGATACAGCATGCCACCTAAAGCCATCACTAGTCAGACTTAGCAAAAGAAAAGCCAAACAAACAAACAAAAAACCCAAATCTTATCTCCTTTACTGAGTCATGTGACCTGTATTTTAGGAAAATGTGTTTGTGGTCCAAATTAGCAGGCTTACACAGCCCACATTCTATCAGACATATAATCACAGAGAAATAGGCTGAAGATCTGAAAGAATCAAATATAGTATTTACAAAACAAATCTACCTAAATGCATAAGAAATATGTGATCGACATGACACTAGCCTCCATGTTCTTAACAGGTTGGAAATGTCCATCAAAGAGAACTTTATGTCTACCAACTAAAAGCTTCTATGCAAAATTAATAATGGCTGATATTTTACTGAGAGTTGTTCTATGTGCCAGGAACCATAGATTATCAGCTTCAAAAACAATTCTATTTGAATGGCTGCAAAATTTGCATATTCCAGTGTAAAATTAAAGTGTGGAGTGCTTGTTAAAGAATTATTAACAATTTGAAAATACTGTCAGCAAATCATTATACCAAGTGTGAGTCGTTCTAAACATGGAATCTTTTACAACTGCCCAGGTTGCATGCATATGAAGCAGACCATGACACTTTCTAATTTTCACAGCACTCCTTTGAGGTAGGAAATCTCATTGTCTCCATTTATAAAATGAAGATATGTAATTATGGAGTTACTATATAAGAAATCACATGACTGAAAAGTACAGAACCAAGGCTTAGATGTTCATCAGATTGATCCAACAGCATGCAATCTCAAACATTCCATAAAGATGCTACTATGAGAACAAAATCAAATGCAAAAATTTCTAACAATTAGTTTTATTAATTAACCTTACTCTGGGAGTCACTTCACCTATAAACATTGGCAACCTAAATTATAGTACTCTGAGGATGTATGTAAATAGTGACATGCATATATGTACATAAATTTCTAGAGATTCTCATACACCAAAAACTCATTATAATGTATCCAACTGCTACCTATAGACAAGCCATAGAGTAAATGATTTTCTATGAAATAAAATTTTGGTTTTGTGTCTATATCCTAATTAGTTTTAAATCAACTTGTAAGAAAGGAAGTAAACTAACTCTTTCTGCATCTATTTCAGCATAATAGCTTGTGCTAACCATTACATGCTCAACTCAACTTATTTATTAAGGACTGGGTACTTGTGTAATAACTTTTCCCAATTCTCTAAGTAAACAGTGCTTCTTCTATGAAACTCTTGGAAAGGAAAAAAAATAAGAGAGATAGGCTCACCACATTCCAATTCCAACAGGCACTACTTTAGTACCTAGTATGTTTCACCTTGGGCAAGTTACTTATCATTTCCATGGCTCAATCTCCTCTCTTCACTTGAAAAGCTGGAATAATACTATTCATCCCTTGGGGTTATTGGAGGCTAAAATTAGATAATTCAGAAAAAAGACTTAAGGTAATGCCTCTTACATTGTCAGAACTCAATAAATCTTAGGTATTATTGTTATTTCTTTTTTGTTAGCCATATATCTTGCCAAATACTGGACATATAAAGATAGAAATATAGTCCTTACTCCTGCGAGAATCCTAATTCACTGGATGAGACAGCTAGACAAAACGATGAAGTACAATAATATATGTTCATTTCTATGAGACAAGATAATATAGGCACAAGAGCACTAATGTCACAGAAATTTAATCTCTGCTGGGAAATCAGGTAGTTTTCAATGACAAGGGTCATTTGATTTTGTAGACATTGGTGAAGGATAGAAAGAAGAGGATTTAAGCAGAAGGAGCATCCTGAGCTAAGACAAAGACTGATGAAAAATGCTGGCATATTTAGGGAACAGTAAATGTTCCCTATAACAAAAGAATTGATAGCCTGAGGAAGAGAGTCCGAAAGAAATGTGGAATGTGATTGGGTCTAGACTTGTAAGAACTGGTTGTGTCAAACTTAAGAGTCACATTTTATACTGCAGGTTATATTTTGGTTTTTGAATGGAATGTTATCAGATTTGATTTGAATAATTATAATGTTGGGCTAATATGGGAGGAGGGGTTGGAAGAAACTAGAGACAAGGGGAACAATTAGGATTATCTTCCAGTTGTTGTAACTAAGTCTTGGAGAGAAGTCTATAGTAGAGAAGTACAGTTTAATTACTCTCACCTCCATGCCCACCACTCAAGGGCTTGACAAGGAAGGACTGACTCCACTTTAGTAATACTCCTACTATGGGTGAGATGTAACCCAATGTATATTAGCATTTATGAGAAGCTGCGTTCATATAGCATACACAAGGTGGAGAAGACGATCTTTTCCAATAATAGGAGATATCCTCACAAGGAAAAGAAACTGTTATAATCAATCCTTAGATATACACCCACATTCACACCATCACTGAAAAGGACCTTAGTCTTAAGATGACAAGGTTGCTTTCTGGTTTCCAAGACTTGCTTTTGCCTCATTCCCCATGGCAGCAAATTAAACTTGAGCATTAGGTTCTGTGTTGGTATTTATATTACAGCCTTCTGAAGCCAACCAACTAGCTTCCTTTCTCAGGAAAGCTGTAGCTCTAGGTTGATTTTTCACACCATAACTACTGAGACCATTTTACCCTGTGTCTGTTTACTCCAGGCACCCGTAAACTCTGCAAGGATACAGGCCATGTGTGATGGCCCATTCTTAGCCTATTGCCAACACAGTTCCTGACCTACCATAAGCACTAAACAAAATGACTTGATAATTTGAAAAACAATTAATATCTAATTACAACTCTTTGCATATATGTAGTGATTATGTTGTAATGTAAGCATGACTTTTTAAATTTTCTTATGTCTTGTCTTCTGGAGCCTTGATGATGCTGGAAACATTGCCCCTCCTAGGAGTAGGCAATTCCTAAAGAGAATAAAGGACTTGCTTACAAACATGACATTGATATACTAACCATTGAGTCCAAATCTCACATTCAAGCCCCATTTTATCAGGTCCTCACAGAATAATTAAGATAACCCTTCTCTAATCATTCCTTGTCCAGGTATCAGGAATCAAGAAGCAGTGCCTATGTCACAGAGTTTGCTGAAATTATTTATTTAATCTATCCTACACCTTCTTACTTTGCCTTCCCTCAATAAAGCACATTAAAAGTTCTTGTCCACATTTTCAATACAAATTTAACTTAATTTCCAGTGATCATAGTCATTAAACATTTTTCATTTGTGTAATTTAAATGTAGTTTCACATATGCCTTCCCTCCCTATAACACATTCTTCCTTAGTTATTGGTTATAAAAAAGTAATCTGTAAAATTACTGGCATGTAAGTCAATGAATGGTTTTAGGACTGAGGTCTCAGTACGTTGATCCTTCCTAACTCCTCTCATCGTATGGCCCCCAACATTCTTCAGACTTCTGGGGTCTCCAACAACACAGGTTGAAAAAAAACTAGATGACTGGAAATATCACAGAAGGAAAGAAAATGTCTATATTCTGCCATTTGCTACTTTTTCTCTTTAAAATAATGCCAGGTGGTCAATATAGAAAACTATGATATGAGATTGCCTGAGTTGATCTCCCTACTTGAGCTTCCATGAAGCTCAAATTTGATCAAGTTACATCGATTCTCTGTACTTTACTTTCTTCATCTGATAAAGGAAAACAGCAGGCTCTTTGAAGTTTGTTAGGAATGTCATGTAATGAAAGGTAAGTTCAAAAAGTTTACAGAAAATACATGGTTTTTCACAATATGTAATTTCCAAAAAGTCTTTGAAGACCTCTCTTATTTTGCACCAAAATAAACATTTTAATTTCATTTTCCATGAACTGTTTGAAGTACCCTTGAAAACATAAGGTTACTGGTTATTTCTTAAGAAATACAATATTTAGAAAATATTAAAAATCAAGTGATGGAACACTAAGTTTCTGCCTTTTTTATAGGAGAAGAACAAATAATATATGTTGTTCAAAGTTGTGGTAAGGCTTAACTGGCATGATGAAGTATTATACTCAGTAAAACATGCAAATATGACATATTATGATTTTTTGCAAAGTATATGTGTCCCTCCTTTTTCAATTCTCAGGCCTCATTTTGTTTTCTATTTCTTGCTTACCTCAAGGTCTTTGTGCCACTGCAATTAACGAGATTTCCTATAAATCAGTCATAAGTAATATTTTATGAATTATAGCCTGTTCAAAGCTAATTTATAACAGCAAATAATATTTGGTACATTCACTGAATCAAATACACTACTATTCACAAAAGGTTTTCTACTTTAAAATCTAAATTTTGTTACTCTATCAAAAACATGCTTCCAAATCTCTTTCATAAGATGTTTTTATCACATCAAAAGGAAATCAATTTAAAGGTAGGCACTATCCATTACAATGTCATCTTCTACAGCATTTATCTACAAATGTATTTGTGTGGATTTTGAATTAAACCATGATACTTATATCCTTGTCCCAGAGGATATTCTGACTTTGTCAATAGACCTTTCTTTCATTCTTTTATCCATGCTTCAGTGCTCAGATAACCCAACAAGAGATACAAAAAGCACTATATGCAGAAGACTAAGTCAGTGGGTATGCTTTAATTTGCCTTGTATCATTAAGTCAGGATAGGCTATGTCTACACATCAAATCAACTTCAAAAGAGAGATTTGAGAAATATGAATTTAATCAAAATTATTTTTCTTCCTCCTCCTCCCACAGACATTCACATGTATTCTCTAGAAGTCTCCCTAAACATTAAGAACGCATTCCTTGCTCCTCCAATGTCCTTATTGACATCTCTATCCTCTTTGGGATTCTCCTGCCAAAACAAATGGTTTCATTGATCCTTACAGGAATTTCCTCAAAGACCCATCAACTCTTTTACAGAAAACTTCAATATACGTCTTTGATTTAAAATTCATTGACTCTCCTGCCTTATCTTAACTATTTTCACCAATCTGGCATTGCTGTAGTTCTTATGCAATCCTACTCAAGCTCCTGCATCAGAGCCTTCTTAAAAGAAAGCTTTCAATTGTCAATAACTTCTGATCAATCTTCATTACTCCACTCATAGACACTGCTAAATATTTGCTTGATGACATTCTTCCCTATGAAAATAAGCAATAAATTTAGCTCTTTCTTACCAATAGGATGAATTAGTAATATTTTGTGTTAGCTTTTGACAATACTAAATATGAGTTAATCATTTAAAGATGCTTGAACCTCAAACAGCTGTCCTCCTCCAGCCCCTCCACTCAACACCTTACTTTCTACTCTTTTCAAAGAAAAATTTGTTAGAAAATTCACTCTCAAACTGGAAAAAAAATGAGATGAAGAAAGAAAAGAAGGAAAGGAAAAAGAAAACAAATGAAAAAGGGAAGGGAAGGGAAGGGAAGGGAAGGGAAGGGAAGGGAAGGGAAGGGAAGGGAAGGGAAGGGAAGGGAAGGGGGAAGGGGAAGGGGAAGGTGAAGGGGAAGGGGAAGGTGAAGGGGAAGGGGAAGGGAGGGGAAGGGGAAGGGGAAGGGGAAGGGAAGGGAAGGGAAGGGAAGGGGAAGGGAAGGGAGAGGAGGAGAGGGGAGGGGAGGGGGAGAAAGGAAAATACAGTATTATCTGCTTTGGTAAAGGCTGGCCCAGGACTGATGGGTGGACAGAATTTGATTTAAACTAGGAATAAGCAATCTTTGTCTGTAAAGGGCTGTATAGTAAATACTTCCGCCTTTACTGTATGGTCTCCTGCTGCAGCTATTCAGTTTTGCCATGAGCTGTGCTACCTGAAAGTGTGGGCATTGAATGTGAATTTCATCTAATTGTCACAAGTCTCTCCCACCATTTAAAAGCTGAAAAAAATTCTTACCTTTGAGGCACACAAAAACAGATGACTGAGGACTTGCAGGCTACAGTGTGCTGGGTGTTTGTCTAAACAAATGCTGGTATTTCCATTTCAATTGCCAAAGACTAAAAAAGTTTGGCCATGTGATATAACTTGGCCAATGATATATGAGGCATCGGCTGAGGGGGATGGAGAAGCTTTTTCTCCCTCAAATGAGAAGAAAAACATGAGAAAGAAGTAATTGTTTATTCTCTTTCTGGATGTTGTTGAGGATGTGAGATGCCTTGGGCTATGCAGACATCCTGTGGCAAAGAAGAGAGGCAGCCTGAGGACAAAGCTGATGGAGAAATGAGGGAAATATGGAAATAATTTAGATTCTTGGTGTTTGTAATAAACAGTTCAGTTAATGAGCCCTGCATCTGCCCCTGCCCTGGTCTATTTATTATGTAAAAATAATCAATTATTTATAGAATGAAGAGTTAATTTATTTTTTCTGGTGATATGCAGTAAAACATCTGATACATTTATATATTATATATATATATATATATATATATATATATCACAAGGAGAACATTGAAGAATAGAAAAGACAGAACAAAATGC